GGTGTACGGTAAAACGAGCGAACGGCATTTCCGAGATAGAGCGGAAGGCCGATTTATACTGATAATTGCAAGTGTTGTTTATGTTTTTGTCTTATTATTAATTTAAGTTGTATTTTTTCGAAAAACGGAAAATATAGTTCCGTTAAGGATTGTTTTAGGCTTTCAATGATCTAAGCTGTTACAAAAACAAAATTATATTAAGCCCGGGAGAACATTTCTCCCTGACGAAGTGAACGACGATTTGTGGAATATTGAACTTCCCAACCATTAAAATGCCATACCCTTCGGATTTCTTTAAAAATGTATTAGGAAAATATCAACCCGTAATAAGAACTTGTCCTTCGTGCAACATAAATTACTCCTGAAGAATTTCTTAAATTTGTAAATCGATATTTTTCGAAAGTAGTGGAGCAAAAGGGCAAGAGATAGAGCGAACGGTTCGATGTTGAGCGCAAGGGCGATATCGTTTACCAATAATTAGCATACCGGTATTAGGCACACATCAAAACATTATCTTTCGCGTTAAGTCTATAAAAGCTATTATAAGTTAAAAATAGACATGGTCAAGTGTTTGAGACTGATATATATATATATTATATAATATATAATTATATATATATATATTATATATATATATAATATATATATAATATATATATATATATATACTATATTAATATATATAAGTGGAGCCTTGCTAATCCGAACCCTTCTAATCCGGAATCCTTTCTAATCCGAACGAAGTGTCCGGTCCCGATCCCGATTTTATCCGTTCTATTTTTACTAGTTAAAAACCTTTCGGATCCGGAACCTGTCTACTCCGAATTCCGGACGATTTTTTCAATTTTTGTTCTTATTTTACTCTAAAATTTTATATCTCGGATCCGAACAGATTTTGCCAAATGTCACACCTTCATTCAAAATAATAAATTATCGCACATCTTGCAGGTGTAAACATACACCAAACTGATAAGTGTTATTTCGCTTGATTAATGGGTGAAACGTATGATCTGCGAAGGTGTGAAAATTACACTTAGCTTGCCTTGATATCTTCTATTATTTTCATTAATTGATTGTTTTTCGTCAGTTTTTCGTCAGCTTCTATAAATATTTTGATATAATGCAATAGGAATATCTTTTCATCCTTTGTATTGGATTCAAAGATACGAGACTAAGTAATGAAAATTAATGTAAACTGTCAGTAAATTCGGATAGTCGCTGAATAGGATAAGAGTAAACAACAACTGACAAATGCTGGTACGAATATCTTATCATGTCTCGGCCTCCTGTTTAACATCGTAGGTTAACTTACCCTAGAGGACATAATATTTTTGCTTATTTATTTATTTTTATTTCCTTATTTTTGTTTATTTTCAGATGCATTAAAATGAACGATAAGAGACTGCAAAAATAAAACATCTAAATTGCAATTTCAAATACATTCCCGTTTTCTTTCCTTAAACTAGTTTGCAAATAACATGAAAAACACATGTAAAAAAACCTTCTAATTCGGAAACCTTTCTAATCCGGAAACCTTTCTAATCCGAACTTTTCTTCTGGTCCGGACGAGTTCGGATTAGACAGGTTCCACTGTATATATATATATATATATATATATATATATATATATATACACCTTTTAAAGACAACATCCTTTCAACGACTAAAGCGTAATAAATGTAATCGCAAAGTTGTAACCTATGGCTGCCGTATAGATTCCATAATTTATGTTCCAAATTTGGATGACGCCCGATCATTGAATCATATGGCGTAAAACAGGGTGCTACTTATTCGAGGTCAATCATGATTTTGACACAGTAAAGCTGCGGTCTCACTTACTCCCGGCAGAGCCCAGGACCATCTCGGTAAGTTACCGGGATGATCTGGGACGATCCGGGTTGAAATTATTGTTACGGTCACACTTACCCCGGCAGCACTACGGTAGTTCCCAACTAACCACCCAGGATGCGCTCCGGATCATCCAGACAGAGCCCAGGTGAAGCTACGGTTCATGCCGGTGCTTCCCCGGTCGTTCCCGGATGACGCCGGAAGAGCCCCTGTTGACCCATGCAGAGCCCCGGTCGATCCAGGCAGAGCCCCGGCAGAGCCCAGGACGATCCAGGCAGAGCCCCGGTAAAACCCCGGTGGATTGAAAACGCCCAAAAATGATAATATTGATACATAATTTTTATTAATATAATATCTACTGTTCCAGAATAGTAATTCATGATGATTTTCTGAAAATTCCTTATGCCATACTGGATAGAATCGAAATGGGAAGGGATTTAATACAAACAAGTGCAATCATCGCAAATTGTCGTTATTCTTTTGAAATGATCCGGGCTTTGCCGGGGCTCTACCGGGGTCAACTGTAGCACTACCTTTATCCTCCGGGGCTCAGCCTGTAGTTACCGGGGTTCTGCCGGCATATACCGGGGCTCTACTGTAGCTCTAGATCAACAAGGAAAGGCCGCGTTCAATGAACGCCACTCCCACGCGACCCAGCAAAAAGACTTTAACCGGTGGAAAGGAGCCCAGGAGACACTCAAACAAAAACAGGACAGAGTGCAATGCGGAGCACGGACAGGTCAATCATTTATTATAAAATGAAACATAAAAAGAAATCATCAAAACCGAAAAGGAAAACAAAGAAGAAAGATAAATGACTGCTTAACAGGCTCATAAAGTAAAGGGGCATGGGGGAAGGGGATACGAGACCCGGGGAAGGGTATATAAGAGTTTCAGTTATGTTTCAAGATACTTTTTTCTTATTAAGCATTGTTGTTTAGTTAACCATTTTCCTCTAGAAGTATAAATGGAAATGTTCACTTTTATAATCAAAAACTGCATATTGTCACTTCAAATCTTGTTAATGAAAGAAAAGAATTTGAGTGTAAAATTTTGTTCGTTTATTCAGAGTATCTATGAACAAAAGGAACGTAATATAAAAGGCAGTGCTTATTAGGTGTACGGTCCAAAATTATTAATAATTGAAAGACCTAGTTATAGTAGAAATAAATTAATATCTAATCATATTTTTCCGGCTTCACATTTTAGTACGTCTATTTTAACTTTAAAAGATTTTATTTATAGAAAATTGTAGACTATGCTTTTTACAACCTTTCGCTCTATCTCTTGCCCTTTGGCTCCACTACTTTTGAAAAAAAAACGATAATTATATTTAAGAAATCAACCATGAGTAGTTTATTTTGCACGAAGGACAAGTTCTTATTACGGGTTGATATATTCCTAATTCATTTTTTAAAGAAATCCGAAGGGTATGGCATTTTAATGGTTGGGAAGTTCAATATTCCACAAATCGTCGTTCACTTCGTCAGGGAAAAAAGTTCTCCCGGGCTTAATATAATTTTGTTTTTGTAACAGCTTAGATCATTGAAAGCCTTAAACAATCCTACACGGAACTACATTTTCCGTTTTTGAAAAAAATACAACTTAAATGAATAACAAGACAAAAACATAAACAACACTTGCAATTATCCGTTTAAATCGGCCTTCCGCTCTATCTCGGAAATGCCGTTCGCTCGTTTTACCGTACACCACAATGTTGAAGTGGAGCGACAGTTTGCCAGGCGTAAATCAAGGAAAATATGTTTTAAATTGATCTGTATGACGATAATACAAACACAACAGCTTTAATGTTTTAGTGTAACAAAATGTTATCGTTTAAATCAGCTAAGATGTAGTATCGCACGATCATTTAGGTCCTTTAAAATATTTTTAGCAATGTTTAAGACAATAAATATTGACTTTAAATAACAGATTTTATTTTCAACTCTATTCTTTCAGTTTCCATTCGAAATATTTAAGCAATATCATTACGAAATTAAATGCCTCACGCACATAAAAGGATGCTCGCCAACTCGTTATCTAAAGTTGGTGAAAATAAAAGAATTGGGACATGACGTGTTTTATATGGCTATACTGTTTTAAATATGTTTTTGTTTGTTTTTTTCATTTTACGCCTTTTCCCAACAGTATTTCAGTCATATAGGCGGGTAGTATCTTGAAATATGATACCTTTATTGACGTCATTATTGACTTATTTTATACCTGACCTGTAATCCGAACTCGATTGGTGTACATTAATCGTTCGTACCATTATTATTTAATGGGTGGTTTAAGTTCTCAAATTATTACATTTTGAATTTTTAATGCAAACTAGAAGAATAAATGTGGAAGTGGCACGTAAATCCGAGTAGAGCATTGGTAAGAGAGTTCAGATAACGAAGAACTCAGACCTGTTATAATGAAACATGGTTTTTCTCTTTTTATAATTTTTTGAACATTTTAAAGCTAAACCAAAATTTGGTGTACCTTATTTGTAACTGTCATTGAACAGAATGAATAGCATTATCGATTTTATTCTGTTTGAAACACTGAATTCCATTCGCGACCTTTTTAACGATGTCGGCTTTTTATTTATACATATATGTTTTCTTCCATTGTTCATTTCAGTATATCTTCTGTTATCATAAATTTGAAATTCAAAGTTTGATATATCTGCCTATATTTCAGGCATTGAATTGCTGCATTTTTATTTCTTTTTAACAAGCACTGTCATCTTAAAGAGTATGAAAACAATTGCATTTATTTACTATAATTATAGTACATGATGTATATCAAATACCTGAATACATATCTAAATTAAATTGTATTGCATTACACCTTTAAATGATAGTGAAAGATCCCTCTTGAAATGTAATTATATACTATAGCATTTTACATAATTATTTTTTTCAGGTTAACCTCGGAGCTTAGTTTACAAGACATGTCAGTGTATATAATTCTTTAAGTTGGAAGACACAAAGTTTGCAAGTAATGTAATATACTATTGCATTTTACATAATTATTTTTTTTTTCAGATTTACCTCAGAGCTTAGCTTACAAGACATACCAGTGTATATAATTCTTTAAGTTGGAAGACACAAAGTTTGCAAGTAATGTAATATACTATTGCATTTTACATATTTTTTTTTTTTTTTCAGATTTACCTCAGAGCTTAGCTTACAAGACATGCCACACAAAGTTAGCAAATAATGGCTTCTTATAGCCCTAAACTTTTAGAAAAGAAATTCATTAACTGGGTTAAATCTCAATTAGCAGTGTTGATTACGAAAGAAGGTATTGAACCTTTTGTTTGCAATGAAATCAAACAATTCCAATTGAAATGCTTAGATGATATATGTTACCAAAATGGACTATTTAGTGGGACTTTGTGTTCAAATTGTTGTACGGAAAATGTTATTAAATGTCCAACAAATAAAATATGTAATGTTGGACGTGGAAGATGCAGTTATCATCGAAATGCTGCAACAAGGTATAATCCTGTCGGCTGCCCGAACAAGATATGTCATAATTTCACAACTGAGATACATGATGCGCATAGGTACTCTGGTCCATCTTACAAAAACACTGATGCTTCACAGTGGTGTAGTAGTTTCTGGGAAGTGGCGAAATGCTTCATGCCTCCAGATGGGTACAAAGATACAACATCTGCAGCAGAAACAGACTTCAATGGTATAATCAGCGTTATTCTCAATTACAAAGGCTTCCAGGGGAAAATACATGAGAACCTGAACAATAAGACGAATATGTTTGAGGAGGTAAACAATATTTAGATACTATTTATGAAGACTTACGTTTGGTCCTTAGTTACCAAAAAACAACAATTGTATATTTCAGTGATCTAAAGTAAGATACACAGTATTGTATGATATATATAATACACTTAGATTGTTGTTATGCTTTCTGAAAATAAAGCACATCGTTACATAGGGGAATGTCGGTAAGAAAGATTTGTAGGCGAGTATAAAGAATTTACTCTGCTTGCAACGTCTGTATTTTTAATATTTTTTACTTTGTTAGAAATTTCAAACTTAATTTAACAGAGGTATTACCACCAAGTGTGAAGATACATTTTGAGATGGTTTCGTGATAAGAAAATATACAGGGCGGAAAAGTGATTTTTAACCCCAAATTTATGTGCTGAATATAGAGAAATGATCTTCAGTAGTCATCAACTTCTTATCTTGTCATGGGGATTAAACCAAATTCATCTGAGCCTTTGTGCATATCAATTATTTTTGGGTAAATTGTGGCCCATTGCATTTTGTCTTTTTTGTTAGATAATTCCTTGTAAGCAAGCACTCCTCACTAATTTTTCACGAAGTTTCAATTTTTGAAACAATTTTTATATCGATTTTGATATCATAATTGTATTAAAGAGGGGTACTGGTACGTAACACTACAGCATTTTTAATACTCCCGGGAAAATATGACAACGACCCTTCGCAGACGGCAGTGGTAAATGCAACAAGCAGACCACTCCTTTCGCAGACCACTCCTCTATCAAACCACTCCCCTAGCAGACCACACCCCTAGCAGACCACACCTCTAGCTATGACATTTAAGGTAAACACAGCTCTTATCGTGTTTGTGATTCATTATTTAAGTATTATTTTACTACATGTATAACGTAACAGTTTCTCAGTAAACGTATATATTTTATACTCAACTTATAGGTTTAAGGTAAAAGTAAATAAGAATTGTTTTTCAATTTTGACCAGGCAAGAGATATTGGAAGAAAAGTGCGACATTCCTCAACATTTGAAGTAGAGGATACAGATCTTCAAAAATACTTCAAGCTATTTCAAAAACTACTTTCTGATCAAGTATATTTAGCTGCAGACACACATGCGCAGAATGCTAAAAAGAAACTGACAGAGGTAAACATCTATACTTCTACTATTACTACTTACTACTAATTCTTACTACTACAATTACAACTGCTACTTACTTCTGCTTCTTATCCCTTCTACTGCTACCGCTACCTCTTCCACCACCACTACTACTACCAACACCACCACTACCTCTACCACCACCACTAATACTACCACTTCAACAACTACTACCACTACCACCACCATAACTACCATCACTACTACTACTACTACTACTACTACTACCACTACCACTACTTATTCTAGTACCTTTATTTTTACTACTACTACTACTACTACTACTACTACTACTACTACTACTACTACTACTACCACTACCACTTCCACTACCACAACCACCACCACAACTACCACTACCACTACTACTATCACTACTACTACTACTCATTCTTCTCCTTCCTAAACTTCTTATTTTTCAACTTCTTCTTACTACTACAACTGCTTCTTACTACTACTACTTCTACAATAACAACTATAACTTACTACTGCTACTTACTGCTTCTACTTACTACTATTACTTACTACTGCTTCAATTTACCACTACTGCAATAACAACTGCTACACACTACTGCTACTTACTACTGCTTCTTACTAATACTACTACTACAATTACTACTGCTACTTACTACTGCTTCTTACTAATACTACTACTACAATTACTACCACTTCTTTCTACTGTTACTTACTACTTCTACCACTACTACCACTACTAACACCACTACCACCACCACCACCATTACCACCACCAACACTACCACCAACACTACAACCACCACCACTACCACCACCATTTCCACTACCACTTTTTTATTATTTTTTATTATTTGTTCATTTTATTTATTTATTTATTTATTTATTATTTATCTATTTTGTATTTTTTATTTATTTACCTTTTTTAAAATTCTATATTGTATATTTGTATTGTATTTATAATTACAGTTAGAAAATGACACTTTAGTCATTGGTAAAGATGATGTAAGAAAAGTACTAGACGATGTGGCAAAGGCAATTCAAGACAAGATGAAGGCTGGATTAGACGAGCAATATGACAGAATTAAACTAGATATGATAAAAAGAAAACAAGAAGATCTTCTATCTCTTCAGTCACAATTAAAAGATGAAGCTGATGCTTCTGTTAAAAGACTGCATGAAGAACGGGACAAAGAAGTTGGGAAAATTCATGAACAAGGAGAAAAGGAACAAGCAGACCTGGCTGCCTTAGGAGAGATGTTACAAAAAGCACTGAAAATAGCAAGTAAAGACGAGAAAGAAAAGGAATATATTGATTCTAAACAAAGTAAGTGATATTAATCACATAACTTCATTTATTTTCTATATTTTATTAATAAACGTATTCCTTTGTACTTCACCCCTTACAACATATAACCATTGAAACTTCAGTTTTGCACCATATGATGTTCTAATATCATCAATTCATTATTTGATCCAATCTTATTAATCTTATGTTCATTTCCTGAGTCCAGAAGTCTGTATCAATGCAAATTTTACGAAATCTAGCATCGCTTTTATCTCCCAAAATAAAATCTATTTCAAATTCATTTTATAAACCACAAGCCTCGTTGTCAGTTTCTGTGTCAAAACGTTCATATCAAATTCATATTGTACTCTAAGAAACTACATTGTAACAGACATTTTTGTAATACTGAAACGCCATAATTGTTGATCATGAGTATTTGTATGCCCCCCATTCGAAGAAAAGGGGGTATATTGTTTTGCTTATGTCGGTCGGTCGGTCGGTCGGTCTGTATGTCTGTCGGTCTGTCCGTCTGTAGACAACATTGTTTCCGCTGATAATCTTGAAAACTATATATCACAAGGTCAAAGTCAGAGTTACCATAAATATAAAATAGTTTCCGCTGATTATCTTGAAAACTATTAATAATAACAATGTCTTTATATACCACATACTGATTGGTCATAACTAGTAGATGACCCCTATTGATTTTGGTCATTATGCCGAAGGTCAAGGTCACAGTGGCCTTAAATGTTAGAATGGTTTCCGCTGATTATCTTGAAAGTTATTCATCACAAAGTCTTCATATTTCATATACTAGTAGTGATTGGTCATAACTAGTAAACGACCCCTTATTGATTTTGGGGTTACTAGGTCAAGGTCACAGGGACCTTAAATGTCAGAATGTTTTCCGCTGATTATATAGAAAACTTTTCATCACAAAATTTCATATTTCACTTACTGATCGGTGGTAACTAGAAAATGACCCCTATTGATGTTGGGGTCACTAGGTCAAAGGTTAAGGTCACAGGGGCGCTGTATGTAAGAATGGTTTCCGCTGATTATCTTGAAAATTATTCATCACGAAGTCTTCATGTTTGACATACTGATTAGTCATAACGAGTTAATGATGGCTATTGATTTGGGGTTACTTGGTCAAAGTTCAAGGTCACAGGGGCCTTAAATATCAGAATGGTTTCTCCCAGATAGCAGACAGTAGTTGGCCCAACGTTGGGCCAATTACATTTGCTTTGTTGGCCCAACACATAATGCCAACGTTGGCCCAATGTCAATTTGCTAATTGGGGAAACGTTGGGCCAACGGTTGGTATATGGTTGGCCCAACGACTGCTTTCCTACTCTTATCGTTGGCCCTCCATTGGCCCAATGACTGGTTTTCCTTCCTATCGTTGGCCCTCTGTTGGCCCAACAACTGGTTTCCCTTCTTCTTGTTGGCCCCCGTTGGCCCATTGACTGGTTTCCTACAATAAACATTGGCCCTTTGTTGGCCCAATGCCTTGTTTTCATAAAAGAACAACATATTTACTAATTACTACAATTTATTACTAAATGTTGTTCACATATCATTTTCATCTCTTTGTTGTTGCAACTTTTTAGTCAATCTCTTCCTCCGCCCGCCTTCCCTATCCTTGGCATATCTTAGGCACTCCTTCATTGTCTTCTCGATTTCATTATTAGTAGACCCCTGTCTTCTTCCTCTTAAAGCATCTGAAATTTATACAGTTTACTGATTTTATTTAAATATACACTACTTATTATAATTTACTAGTAAAAAAGCACATAAATCTGTCAAAATGCAAATAGAGCTAAGGGGATAAGACTTTGATAGTAAAGAAATATTTTAAATTACAAGTCAATAGATTTAATAGTAACAGAGATATTTGACATAATTAAAAATTTTAACCTAAAATTTTTAAGTTAAAAAGAGGCATAATTCTGTCAAAATACAAATAGAGTTATGATGATCATTTACAACACAAGAGTCACATCTTACACCCACGGTGTAAAATAATTTTCAGCACCGGTGAAATCACCTTTGAAAAAGTAAAAATACAAACCTAATGTGACTTTTTTAAGTCTAAGTTTTTCGAATGGTTTTTTCGAGCCTTTTCCAACCCAGTTGTATTCAAGGGCAACTTCCTGAGACAAAGTGTGAGACATAACATGGCGAACAATGCTCTCCCAATTAGACATAAATTTGCTGTCTGAAATGAAATAAAAACAATCTTTGCAGTCGGGTAAAGTAATTTGTGTTTAATGCGAAGTTACACTTCAAATTAAATTTACACAAAGTTTCGTATACACTCTACTGCAATGAGTGGTGTAACTGTTAAAAAGTCCAGTAACAAAGCAGAATTTTGCAAATAACTCATAATCAATCATAATTACCTATTTATACTCAGAACAGATTGTATGAGCTTAACACTGCAGTGCTAATTGTAGCTTGTCAGTTTTTACTAACTTGCAATTTTTTTTGCAGTTATCACAATAAATTCAGATGTAAAACTATAAATATATCATATTTTAAGCTGATAAACACTGATAGAATTAAATGGTTTTAATTTCATTACAAAAATCAAATTCATTCTGGCTTGTTTACCTGAAAACATCAAAGTATTTTCCTTTACCAATCCGCCATTTTGTATTAATCACATGACCTGGTCACGTGGATAGTATAACAGGTTTTAAATGCAGGTTTAAATACATAACTAACTTAATATTAGAAGGGTTTATTTAAAAGATTAAAGTAAAAAACTCTAGATCTACTTACATTTTTCAGTGTTGAGAAATTGCAGTCTAATACAAATTTATTTAGCTCTTTATCTGTAAACACGTCCACGCAGCTTCGAAATCAATCGAGGGAAAGGATGGGTAGTGCCAAAATGATCCTATTTTCATTCATTGATAACATAACCAGAGGTTAATTAGAGTTCAGAGTGGAAGATTCCGGAGGTTTATTATGGTTATTCCAGCACATGTATAATTACTTTAGATTATACATCAGATCTTCAAGATTTCTATAGATATATTGATACATATCCCCTACTACTGCATAGCCTGGACTTTGGTCATTTCTAGACTCAAAAAGTAATATTTCTTACATTTCTCATTTAATTTATATGAGTATTTCTTGAATGTGACAATATTGAACATGGCTTCAAAAAACATTATAAACTTTAGTCTTTACTCATTGTAGTGTACTGTTTATATACAGTAAAATATCTACATGCATATCTGTCTTTAAAAAAATAAATTTTGGGTCAGGTGCAGTAATTAATATATTTGACGAAAATGTATCGTTGGTCAAACGTTGGCCCAACATCTGTTTTAAAGTACATATTTATCGTTATTGGGCCAATGCAGAAATGTCGCTGGCGTTAACTTATGGTTGGTTCGACGTTGGGCCAACAACTGCATTTATAGTACATGTTAATTAGAGTTGGGCCAACCATGGCCCAACAACGATTTTCCTATGACGATTTTCCGTGGTTGGCCCAACCACTGCATGTTTACAGGGCTGCTGGTAATCTTAAAAACTATATATCACAAAGTCTTCATATTTACCATACTGATTGGTCATTATGCTAGTAGATGACCTCTATTGACTTTATGGTCTCAAGGTCAAAGGTCAAGGTCACAGGTGCATTAAATGTCAGAATGGTTTCAGCTCATTATCTTAAAAACTATTTATCACAAACTCTTCATATTTCACATATTGATTGGCCAGATGATGACCCTTGTTGATTTTGGGATCAAATGTCAAAGTCATAGGGACCTTAAATGTCATAATTGTTACATTTATATGATAATATTTATTTTATTCCAGCTACCCTCCAACAATGACAGTTTTCTTTCAGTTTCAGGTCATATATTGGTCATATCTTCTTTTCCATAACTGAACGCTTCCATGTACCCATTTTAAGCATGTTTCTATAACAAAATTACCAAATTACCAATATTATGAGTCGAGGGCTAGAAGGACGGGGGCATATGTGAAGCATTAGTTGTGAAAAATATTCGTTAAACATTGTTGTGTACAATACTATTCTAGCCAGTATATTTTATCACAATGCTTATATAAGATTACCAATGGCAATACGAGGGAAACAGGGCAAATGCAGAAAAGGAAGGTCAATGTACGTACTTTTGCCGTACGAAAGCGTTGATAGGAATTTAAAGAATAGAAGTCGCTATGTTGTTTCAAAAAATAAATACATGTAAATAAAAAACATAAAAAATAAATACAAATGTCTTTTGACCAAAAAACAGGTAAATATGAAATCACCTGATCACGATTATACTAACCATTCCCAACGATACTAAATGCTTCCGAGGGATCACTTTGTTTCCAGATTTTTGTATGTACGACGGCCTGACACTTTTTATACGAAGACTTGAGAAGGAATAAATCTTTGTTTATTTTATTTGCTAG